AAGGTAACAGAGACTGCAGTGACCACACAAACAAGGAATATAGTCCTTGCAAAAAAGTTTGAAAAAGTCACTAAACAAATGGATGACTGTACCACTTTACAAGCAATATGCCGATTCCTGGGGCAGGGGGACAGCATTATTTCCAGAGCTCTCACATTACAATATGCAAAATTCCCAGTTTTCCTGGAAAATTGCAAATACAAAGAAACAAAAGAATATGATCCATTCACAGGGGGATAAAAATAAATTGACAGAAAATAATTTGAGAAGCCCAGACATTGTTTATATAAGACAAAATGTAAATTGACTGTCTTTAAAATATCAAAGAACTAAAGGAAACTATGAAAGGAACTAAAGAAATCAAGAACAATGTATGAAAAAGTGGATAATATCCACAGATATATAGAAATTATAGTTTTGAAGCTAAAAGGCACAATAGCTGTAATGAAAATTCCACTAGAGAGATTCAACAATAGATTGACCAGGTAGAAGAAAGAATCAATGAACCTTCAGGGCAAAGGAATTAATGCAGTCTGAGGAGCAGAAAGAAAAAAAGAATGAAGAAAATGAGCAGAGCCTAAGGGACCCATGGGAAACTATCCAGAATACTAACAGATGCATTATGGGAGTCCCAGAAGGAGAAAAAGGCAAGATCAGAAAAACAACATTTGAAGAAATAATGGCCTCAAACTTCCTAAATCTGATGAAACATAGGAATATGCAAATCCAAGAAGCTGAACAAATTTCAAGGAGGGTAAACTCAGAGATCCACACTGAGATACACTGTAATCAAATGTCAAATGCCAAAGACAAAGAGAAAATCTAGAAAGCAGCAAGAAGAAGTGACTTATCATGGACAGATGATTCACAGTAAGATTGTCCATTTCTCGTCAGAAATCTTGGAGGCCAGGAGGCAGTGGGATGATTTATTTAGAGTGCTGAAAGGAAAAAAATCCTGTCACCCCGGAATTCTATATCTGTTGAAATTTCCCTGCAAAAAAATGTAGAAATATTGGTATCCCCGGATAAACAATAGGTAAGGGAATTCCTCATTAGTAGACCTGCCCTATGAGAGATGCTAAAGGGAGTCCTTCAGGCTGAAACAAGGGCATTAGATGGCAACTTGAGTCCAAATGGTAAAAAGAACTACAAAGATAAATATAAAAGCTAGTATTAGTATATTCTGGTTTTGTAAATCTTCTTTTTGTTTCCTATATGGTTTAAAATACCTAAATGCATAAGAAATGGTTATCAAATAACAAAGGCATCAAGCAATAATTGTAAAACTTATGGGTACACATGTATAAAGATGTAATATGTGACATTAACAACATAAAGGGGAGTGGAACTGAATAGGATTTAATAAATGAATTACCCTTAATTGCAGGGTAGAAGATCACTTGTGTTTCTATATACCGGCAATGAACAATATAAAAAGGAAATTAAGAAAACTAATCCATTTACAATAGCATCTAAAAGAATAAAATACTTAGGAACAAATTTAACCAAGGAGGTGAGCAAATCATATGTTGAAAACTACAAAACATTGCTGGAAAAAATTGAAGGACTAACTAAATAGAAAGACATCCCATGTTCATGGATTGGAAGACATACAGTGTTAAGATGGCAATACTCCTCAAATCCATCTACGGAGTCAATGCCATCTCTATCAAAATTCCAAAGGCCGTTTCTGCTGAACTGGAAAAGGCAATTCTAAACTTCATATGGAATTGCAAGGGGCCCCAAATAGCCAGAACAACATTGACAAAGGAAAACAAAGTTAGAGGACTCATACTTCTTGGTTTCAAAACTTCCTACAAAGCTGGAGCTGGCCAGGTTGCACAGTGGTTAAGTTTGCATGTTCTGCTTCTGTGGCCTAGGGTTTACAGATTCAGATCCCAGGTGCAGACCCACACACCACTTGTCAAGCCATGATGTGGTAGGCATCCCACGTATAAAGTAGAGGAAGATGGGCATGGATGTTAGCTCAGGGCCAGTCTTCCTCAGCAAAAAGGGGGAGGATTGGCAGCGGATGTTAGCTCAGGGATAACCTTCCTCAAAAAAAAAAAAAAAAAAAAAAAAAAACCTTACTACAAAGCTACAGCAATTGAAAACAGTGTGGTACTGCATAAGGATAGACATATAGACCAATGCAATAGAATTGAGAACCCAGAAACAAACCTGAACATCTTTGGCCAATTGATTTTAGACAAGAGTGCCAAGACCATTCAGTGGGGAAAGAATAATATCTTCAATAAATGGTGCTGTTACAACCTGATAACTGCATGAAAAGAATGTAGTTGGATCCCTGCCTAACTCCATACACAATAATTAATTCAAAATGGATCAACAGCCTAAATATCAGAGCTTAAACCATAAAACTCTTAGAAGAAAACAGAGTAAATCTTCATGACCTCTGATTTGGCACTGGATTCTTAGATTTGACACCAAAAGCACAAGCAACAAAAGGTAAAATACATCAGTTGGATTTCATAAAAATTAAAAAATTTTGTGTACTAAACACAGTATCAAGAAAGTGAAAAGACAATCTACAGAATGGGAGAAAATGTTTATATATCAGGTATCTGATAAAGGTTTAGTATCCAGAATATGTAAAGAATTCTTACAACTCAGCAAGAAGAGAAACAATTAAGAAATGGGCAAAGGTCTTGAACCAACATTTTCCCAACATATACAAATGACCAGCAAACAGAGGAAAAGATACAAACATCATTAATTATTAAGGAAATGTAAATCAAAACCACAGTGAGATATCACTTCATAACAACCTGAATGGCTATATTCAAAAAGAAAGAAAGAAAATCGCAAGTTTGGCGAAGAATGGACAAATGGGACATTTGTACATTGCCGGTGGGAATGTAAAATGATGCAACCACTGAGGTAAAAAGTTTGGTGGTTCCTCAAAAATGTAAACATAGGATTACCGTATGACCTAGAAGTTCCACTCCTAGGTGTGTATCCAAGAGAAAGGAAAACATATGATCCACACAGAAATGTCTACACAGATATTTATAGCAGCATTAGTCATAATAGCCAAAAGGTGAGAAAAACCCAAATGTCTACCCACAGATGCATGGATAAATTGGAGTATATGTATACAAAGGAATATTATTTACCTATAAAAAGATTGAATATTGATACATGCCACAGCTTGGATGGACCTCAAAATCATTATGCTAAGTGAAAGAAGCCAGATACAACAGGTTAAATACCGCCTGATTCCTTTTATATGAAGTATCCAGAATGTGTAAATCCATAGAGACAGATAGAAGATTACAGGCTGCCAGGGGGCGGGGCCGGGGGTGGGAGAGGGAGGAGGGAAAGTGATTCGGTACTCACTGTGCTGTGGACCTACAGCTTACCAGGTACGGTTGGTTGTTCTTCTGGGTGTTAAAAAAAGTTTCAAAAGTAGGGAGAGGTGGTAGTTGCACAATATTTTGAATGCACTAACTGCTACTGAGTTGTACTTTCAAATAGTTAACTGTATGTTATGTGAATTTCACCTCAATTTTTAAGAAAGCATCGTAGACTTATGTTTAGCATAATTCCCTTTTAATTTTAAAAAATACAGATGTACACAAGAGAAAAATATGTTAGATCATACTTCAAGACATTAAAGATGATTATCAATGAGTGATGGGAAATGAGGTAATGTTAATTGTTTCCTCTTAGCTTAAATTATTTTTAAAATTTTCCAACAATGTTAGGAAATAATTGCATGTTGAATTCTTTAGTATCTGGGAAAGAAGTACTATAGTGATATTGACTACCAGATTTTTAGGAGCATAGGAAGATGCTTAAATTGTTGAGTTAAATGAGGACAAAAAGAGAACTGTATTGTATATATAATATGATCCCAAGTATTTAAAATGCACTGCTCATGGTAACAGGCTGTCTGCTGGTGAGAGGAAAAGGAGTGGCATTGTTCCTTTCTACTTTCCAAATTTTCTTAATGAACATTTATCACCACTATAATCAGAAAAGTGATTTTATTTTTAAAATGTCTGCTACTGGGTAAGCTAGGTGCAAAAAGGTAGAGGTTTGATAAATGTACTTGGTTTGATAAACAGAATATTTACACTGGAATCAAGGTATTTTGATACAGAATATTCTTCGTACAAAAATTGTAAAATACAGAAAATGTACAGAGGGAAACTTAAATCACCAGGCCCTAAGCACTCAGATATGCTTAGTTGTTCTCCGAACAGGATTGGGCTTGGGCTGTTTAGAAATAACACTCCTTCACTTCCATCATAGCGAGATCATCGGCAGAGTTTGTTGAGCAAATGAGAGTCTATTACGTGTCGGGCCGGCTCCATCAGAAGTGTGGCTCTCTAGACGGAGAACAGAGAATCCTCAAAGGATAATTACTGGTCTTTGGTTGCCTGGTAAGCTTTCTCACTTCACATGGTATCGGCAATGTAGTCATCTGAACTTCCTCTGGGGACTCAGCCCTTTCCCAGTCTTAGTCCGTGTGGTTTGGGTGGGACTGACTCCAGCCTACCCAAAGGAAACTGACCCAGGCTTGAGTCAATTAGTGGGTTCAATTCCTAGGGTCATAACGATTTGTTAATTTAGGCCAATAAATGTCAAGTGTAGGACTTTTGTTAAAGACATGGACAAGAGAGACGGACTCTATCACTCTGAGCATTTGTAACTTAAAAAAGATGTTAAAAATCCCCTAGGAAGGAAGCAGTGCTGATGAATAGGTTGCTACATGGATTTGGTAGATGGTGGCCATGCTTTGTTCTCATCTTCTGCATCCCTCTGCTATGGCCCTTCCCATACTGTGCTCTGGTCACTGATGCTTCTCTCTCCTCCACCAGACAGACAGCTCTCTAAGGGAAGGAGACACATCTCCACTACGTTTGGTCATGGCACAGAGAAGGACTCAAACACACATCTGCTGAAGAAATCCTGATGGACTTAGCAACACAGAAATGAGGCATTGGTGGTTCTATCACTGGGGACTCAGGTTTCAGGGGCTCCAATACCTGTACTGGTTGATACCACAGCCCAAAGTCTCCACTTTGTACCCTTGGGTTCCTGCTCTAGGCTGCAACAGGTGGTCCGCCCTGAGTCATCCACTGTGGGTTCTTGTGTGGTCACTGCATGATTCTCACATAACCATCCAGAGGACATAATCAGGCAGCAGGAGTGGGGGCGGGGAAGGTTTCATAGAAAGCCATCTCTGATGAAGCACCACACAACCACAGGGGGACTTGAGGTCACTGATCCCATCTGTACATCCTTCCTCTCCTGGGGGTTAAAGGACAGCAAGGAGGAAGCACCAGCCTCTCTGACCTCGGCAACCTTCCTGGAAAGATGCAGCCTCTTCTGCTCCTGCTGGCCATTTTAGTGCCCCCTGGGGCAGAGGCAGATGAGTGACCACCTCCACCCTCAGATGCCCAACCCCTCCCCCCAAACACAGTGGGCACACATCTCCTGCCCCTTCTGCACATCCCTGATCCATCTATCCACCAGCAACATTCTCTATCCCAGCTCCCGTCCCACCTCAGAATCCCATGTATGATGCTGGATAAGCTACCAACAAGAATGTCAGGGGAGAAGGCAGTTCTCAAGAACAGCCAGTGGGTGCTATTCCCTCCCTAGGCCCCACGTTTGCCATCTGCAAAGTGGAACTTAACTGGAAGTGCATGGCAGAGGGAGGGAAACTGGAAAAGAGAAAATAATCAATTCCCCTGCACAGGGCAGAGTGGGCCTGGCCTCCAGGTCTGGGATGACACAGATGCTCCCCTCAGCATCTGATTAGGAGAGAAGTCTGAGCTCTGCAGACCCCGGAGTTGGTGGGACCACTGTCCCCAGAGGACTGCTGATGCCTTGCTCAGTCCCAAGGACCCTCAGTCCCTTCTCCAGCTCTGCTTTTCTTCCCAGGCCTTTAGCAGCTCCCTTCTTTCCAGGATGGAGCCACTGTTTGTGGACCTGAACTTCTCTGCTTTCCAGAATCCCACAAGCGCTGGCCCTACAAACTCTCCTTCAGGCCCATTGGGGGCCATTCCTTCATGCAGCCAAGAAACAGCTTTTGGGCACCCACTCTGTGTCGGGCCATGGAAAACAGGCTATGACAACATCTAGTTCCCTAAACTTAAGTCCTGTCCACTGGAAACAGCATCATCCTAGACATCACAGGGCAACAGTGCCTTGGAAAGGCTCTTGAAACAAAGCAAAGTCAGGAGAGGAATTCTCAGGAGCCTCTAGGACTTTGCTGTCCCTAATATGCATATGCTCACCTCCAATTATCTGTGGAGGACAGATTCACAGGCCAAGCCTGCTCCTCTTCCTTTTTCTAGAGGGAAAGCCCCACCCCAGCCCCTCTCAACTCCAGGCCATCTCGGGCTCCCAGATGCCCAGCAGTCCTGCCGTCAAGGTGACACATGCCTGGTGGACTCGCTGGGTGTGCACAAGTAGATAAGACTTTTCCTTCAGAGGAGATCATCGGGGGACATGAGGCCAGGCCCCACTCTCCACCCTACATGGCATTCGTTCAATTTCTGGTTGAAGAGGCAAAGGACGGCTGTGGCGGTGTCCTCGTGCAACAGGACTTTGTTCTGACGGCTGCTCACTGCTGGGGAAGGTGAGGCACCAAAGACCATGAACACCTCCTGAGACCCCTACAGGGACTCCAGTTCTCTGCCCAGGGCCTGCAGCCCAGGGGAGTTCCGCCGGCTCCTGGGAACTCAAGGCCATGAGAGCTCATGAGAGGAGCCATCTGAGAGCATGACTGGTGACTGAAAGTGAGAAATAGGACAGGCAAGCCTTGGCGTCAAAGGGTCAGAGATGAGAGCTAGTGGCCCAGTTGAGAAGAGAGACCACACTGGTCAAATGAAGCAGCTGTGGAGGATGAAACCATGCACTAGGGTTAAAAGACAAACTCAGAGTCCTTTCACAATATTGCCTGAGGGCTGAGAAAACTCCCAGAATCCCCTCTCAGAGTCACCCACTGCCCAGTACTCCTGTTGTTTCCAATCTCCTACCTGCAGCCCTGCCCTGCCCCAGCTGTCACCTGCCCTTCATGGCTCATGGGCTGGATCTCCTTTGATTCCAAGACCCCGCATCCCCATCCTGCTTTCTGTGTAGCTCAATCAACGTGACTCTGGGGGCCCACAACATCCAGAAGCAGGAGAGGACCCAGCAGGTCATCCCTGTGAAGGAAGCCATCCCCCACCCACACTATAATTCTAAGAACTTCGCCAACGACATCATGTTACTAAAGGTAAGGGAACCTCCCCGCTGCTCTTGCTGTCCTGGGTCGAGATTGCTTCCCCTCCCACTGGCACCTGTCCCTCCCCTCCTCTACATCCCGGACACCTGGCTAGTCCCAGTGGCTCATGGGAGAGGGAAGTCAGTGCAGACCCATCGCAGTGTCCAGGCGACAGGAGACCAGTGGCTGAGCTGGACTTTCTTGCCTCTTCTCATCAGCTGGAGAGAAGGGCCAAGCTTACTGAAGCTGTGTGGCCCCTCAACCTGCCCAGGGGCACAGCCCAGGTGAGGCCCGGAGAGGTGTGCCATGTGGCCGGCTGGGGGAGAGTCGCTCCAAATGGCAGAGCATCAGACACTCTGCAGGAGGTGGAGCTGACCGTGCAGCAGGACCAGGAGTGCGAATCCTACTTACAAAAGTACAACAGTACCACTCAGCTGTGTGTGGGGGACCCGAAGGAAAAGAAGTCTTCCTTTAAGGTGAGACTGGGCATCTACCTAGCTTCGCTCTGGGGAGAGGGGTGTTTTGGAACTTTCAAACCCAAGCAGTGAGAGGGGTTCACTCCTTCACCCTCTATACTTTGATCTTTCTCCTGGGAAGAGAAGCGGGGAGAAGCCAAAGTGGGGAGTCACAGGCCTTCTGGGAGCCCACGAGGGGCCTGAGATGCATCCAGACATCATGTTCCATCTGGAAGATGAATTTTCAACACTCTGCTCCACACTGGGCACAGGTGTTAGAAAACTGCTCCCTGGGTGTGCAGCAGTCAAAGCAGGTGGCTCCTCAGAGCTGGCTCCCATCTTGGTTAAATGGCTCACCTTCCACGCTGAGTGTCGGCCTCACCTCCCTGCTTCCATGTCCTTAAATGGTAGACAGAAGCACAGTCCCACAGTGCCCTCATGGGGGAGGATCCAGGAGAGCGGGGAGGAGAGGGAGCCGCCCCCTGAGAGAAATGAAGTCCTGACAACATCCAGGGTCAGGACTGGGCAGCTGAGGGGCCCACAGGGGCCTGCCCTGCTCTCTGATCTCCCACATGGAGGCCAGGCCAGGTGGCCTTCACTGAGAGGGCATTTGGGATGCAGGTGGGCAGGACCCAGGAGAGCATGGGCTCAGTCCTCCCTGCTCTCTCTCCACAGGGGGACTCCAGGGGCCCTCTCGTGTGTAAGAACGTGATCCAGGGCATTGTCTCCTATGGACGAATAGGCGGGATTCCTCCACAGGCCTTCACCAAAGTCTCGAGTTTCCTGCCCTGGATAAAGAAAACCATGAAGGGGCGGGCCCTGTGGCAGAGTGGCTAAGTTCCTGAGCTCCACTGCGGCGGCCCAGGGTTTTGCATGTTCGAATCCTGGGCGCAGACATGGCACTGCTCATCAGGCCATGCAGGGGGGGCATCCCACATGCCACAACTAGAAGGATCAACAACTAAGAATATACAGCTATGTACTGGGCGGCTTTGGAGAGAAAAAAAAGGAAAAAACTAAAATCTTTAAAAAAAAAAAAAAGAAAGAAAACCATGAAAAGCCTCTAACTGTAGGAACCAGCCCACTTTCTCTGGAGCTGATCCAGAATGACACCAGTAACTAAATAAAAGTCTCTTAGCTGAGCGGGAAGGGCTGGTTTCTCGTTTATTCATTGACCCTCAGTCACAGGCACTAACTCTGTCCTTAGAAGGCCAATGGCACAAATCTGCTGTTTTCTGCTTCCTCCTCTTGCCCCTCCCACCACCTTCCCCAAACCTCAAGCAAAGCTGTTCCCCAGCTCCTGCTGACCCACACCTTTCTCTGGGCCTGCCCTTCTGCCAGGGCTGCAGCTGAGCATCATCAGGGGAAAACATGAACCTCTCTCGTCCTGGGGCTCAGGGCAAACTTCTTACCTGCTTCCCTGTGTTATATGGCAAAGAGGAAGGGGGATGACACCATGGGTCCCGAACACCAAGCACGCAAGCCTGGGGCTGAAGCTCAATGGCACAACCCCCACACTGGGGAGGGGAGAGGCTGCCTGAGAAGGACAGTGCTCTCCCACAGCCAGGGACGTGGCGCGGAGTCAGGGTGGGTCTCTGGAGAAGCTCCTCATTCTCACCCAGCCTGAGTTTCCTCCCTGCCCTCCTGTGACCTTGGAGCCCAGCTTGCCCTCCAGTCTCCTGGCTGCCCCTTCTTCTCCATCCCGGCTTTCCACTGAGAGATCTCAGTGTCCACTAACTCCTGTCCCCTCCACACAAGCCTGATCTGAGCTGACCCCTTCCTTATAGCCCTCCTGCCTAGGACACTCAGAGCTCCGTGTGGTTCCAGCAGGGTCTCTCCCCTGAGATGCCAGCCCAGCTCATGCTGTGGCAAGGAGTGCCACAAGGAATCAGGCTTGTGCTGGCAACAGGCGGGACTCATGCAGGACACAGCAGGCAGGCTGTCTCTCCAGAACTCCTGCCCCATCTCTCACCTGGCAAGGCCAACTCAACCCCTCACATCCAGCCCAGTGACCCCCCAAGTGCTCAGGGTGCATTGGCCACCTGGTCATTTGGTAGACTGAGTCCCTTTCAGCCTGTCCTTCTTACTCACTGCTGGCCTCTAGGCTAAGACCCCTCACTGCCCACATACAGCTGTCTCAGCCTTTTGAGTTAGTAGCCCTACCCTCTCTGCAGTAGGACTGGAAAGCACAATTTTTCAATCAATAAACAAACACACACTGATTGAGCTCCTAAGTGCCTGGCACTGGGGATCCACAGTGGACCTAATACAGACTCTGTCATCTGAACCCGAGGACACTGATAGTGGGAGTTTCACCCAAATAATGTAACTCTCTCTCCCTCTTCACATGAGTGCACATGGCCTAGATCTCGTGGGAAATCCACAGGAATAAAGTACTTGCGTTCTGTTTCTATGGCTGGTGACAGTCCGTGTGAGCATGAGCACGTGTGACTCTAGGACAGCAGGGCGTGGGATTTGGAAATTGCATCAGTCATTCAGTTTCTAGGGATGAAGTCACCCAATTCTGTCCAGTGGAGCATCGTCTGCACCTAGAGGAGAGGGCAGCCCGTAGGGAGGGAGAAGGGCAGCGAGGGCAGCCTTACCTTCATTTGCCTTTAAAGTCAGAGGTAGGAATGTCATTGTACAGATTCAGATCATAGGAAAAACTGCATTACATACTTGCTTGAAGGCAACTAGAGTCAGACTCTAAACACCCATCCAACTGGACTGGCTGGAGAGCTGGTCCCTGTGGTTACTGTACCTCCTGCCTGCGGAGAATCAAACCAGAATCAGGGAGATTCACATGGTCTGGAAACATGGAGAAAGGCCTCTCCTCTTAGGGCCACCGTGGTTATTGCTGCATCCGTAGTTTCCAGACCACCCAGATTTTTTGACTTGAGGAGGTTTTTGGCTTGGAGCCCACACATGGAGTTCGGGATCCTTTGCTGAGTGAGGATCTCCCTGTGTTGGGCTCACCTCAGAAAACACACCCAGCACCCACCTCTCCAAGGGCTTTCCGCTCATATGGGGCACGACCTGGGAGCTGAGCATACGTTCCAGCTCTGAGCTCCTGCTCCAAACACACACAGCACTACCCTCTCACCACAAGGGGTACATACTCTGGGATCATGTAATCCTCTCAGGCACGACCTTTCCCACCTTGTTGTGCACAACACAGGCAGCAACACAATCTCTTCATGACTGAGGGCACTTTCATAAGGGGAGAGCAGTGAGGACACGCAGCTTCCGATCTGGAGCTGAAAAAATATCTCTGTATCTAAGACATACTAAGAACCTGGCTCCTTGATGGAAAAAGACAAAAAGGAAAATGCCAAAAGCAAAACAAAAATAATATTTAAAAAAGTAGCCCAGCCACATGCATATCTTGTTTAGATATGACATTTACTTGAGGAAATGCTTCTGTGGTTTGGATACAAGTTTGAGGACCCTGCTGCAGGTCCTCCTCCTGTGAGAGATGAGGGGGGACACAGTCCCAGGAGGGGGCAGTGGCCGACTGAAGGGACCACAGAGTTAGAACAGAGCCTGGACTGAGCCCAGGCGCCCTGACAGCCAGGCCAGCAAGAGCCCTGACATGTTGTCTAACCCCCGCCCCGTGATGACTTCCTGGCATCCCTGAACAAGAGCTGAGCTTCTGCTCACATGCCTCCCTGGAGAGGAGACCTCTGGGCTGCTGTGCAGGCATTCTGTGACAAGGATTCCAAGGCCTCCCTTGGTGAGCTGAAGTCTGCTCAGGGGCACATTTAGATGGGGGTGGGGAAACCCCCTAATCATGCTGATTCCTTCAAACCTCCTTTGTCTGTGGAAGCATCCCCTGCCCCACCCCTGCATTTGAGGAAACTATCCTTCTGTTTCTCAACATCTCTGTAACAAAAATTTAAGAATAAAAATAAACAAAATATCTCTGTAATGAACTCAAGGAGACCTTGCTACTCACCAAAAGTCACTCCCATCTCCCTTCCTTCCCTCCAGACCCACCAGAAGAGCTGGGTCCCAGGATGGCAGGGAGAAAACCGCCAGACCTGCTCCTGGGGCAGAGAGGCCCAAAGGAAAGTGAGATCTTGCTAATTTGTTTGGGATCATGTCTTCGGATGGCTCTTCCTTCTTGCCCACCACCGTACTTATGCCGGTTCCCCCTGCGGACTTACAGAACTCACAGGGTTATTTTCCTGTCTTACTATCCCACACAGCACTGCTTTTGTCCAACAAACACATTTCACCATAAAAGAAGTGCAGCCACTGGTTTATTTTCGTCATAGGCCTATTGCTAGACTATATTCCTCATCCACAGATTCAGGAAGCTCAGTGAACCTGGGGGAGGGCACAGGAATCCATGTGTAAGCATATAATAGTCAAACTGGTAGAAAACAAAGATAGGGGCCCACCCAGCAGTGCAGTGGTTCAGTTTGTGCACTCCGCTTCGGTGACCCTGAGTTTGCTGGTTTGGATCCCAGGCGTGGACCTACACACCACTCATGAAGCCATGCTGTGACAGGCGTCCCACATACAAAAAAATGGAAGAGGATGGACACAGATGTCAAATCAGGCCCAGTCTTCTTCAGAAAAAAAAGAATACAAAGATGAAGACAAAAGGCTGAAAGTAGACAGGGAGGAAAGCAATGTCCTTTTTTACAGAAACAAAAATAAGACTAACAATAAGCTTTCATCAGAAATGATGGAAGTCAGAAGACAGTGAGATGGCATTTCTAAATGTTTGGAAAGAAAAAAGAAATAGGCAACCTCTTTCTGGAACTCTATGATCAGTGAATATATTGTTGAAAAATAAAGGCAAAGTAAAGACATTTTCAGAAAAACAAGGGTATAAGAATTTCTTGCCATCGGACCTGCACTGCAAGACAGACTAAAAGCACTTCCTCAGGCTGAAGGGAAACGATCCCCATCGTAGGAAGGAAGGAAAAAGAATAAAGAAGTGTAAATGTGACCAAATGTAAAATACTTTATGTAAATTTCTTTCAAAGATTAACGACTATTTAAGGCAAAAATGCTTTAAGGTTTATCCAATATAGTAGCAAGATGTATGACAAAAATAACACAAAGGATGGGAGGGAGGATAAACGGAAATATTTTATTACAATATTCTTATATGAAGTGGTATAACATTAATTCAAAGTAGACTGTGATATGTGAGGTAAGCGTATTGCAATCCTACAGTACCCACTCAAATACTATATAGAGATGTAACCAAAAACCAATAAAGAAGGCAAAATCAGATACAACAAAAGAAGACAGGAAAAGAAGGACAAAAGAACAAATATCACACAATAGAAATCAAACAACAATATGATATTTTTCAACCTAACCCTATCAGTAGTTGTATTAAATGTAAGCAGATTAAACACTCCAACTGAAGAGCAGAGATTGTCAGTCTGTATAAAAACTGCAAGACCAATTGTGTGCTGTGCACAGGAGATATTCAAATATAAAGACATGGATAGGATGAAAGTAAAATGATAGAAGGAAAAACAAGACATGTCCTGCAACACCAATCCAAAGAAAACAGCCTTGCCCATGGAGTGCGCTCTTTAATTTTAGAATTTTGGCCAGCTACGAGATAAAATAGAGTGTCTTGGTAGAATTATTATTTCCATTTTTTCCATATTTTATTTCCATTTCTCTTAATATGAGTGAGCTAAGACTTCATTATGTTTTAATTATATTTTACTGTGAACTGTCTTGTCTTTTGCCCATTCTTCTATCAGGTCTTGGTCTTTTTCTTCTGAACTTTCAGATTTTTTTATATATTGATAGATTAGCTCTTTAATTGTGATATGTGTTGCAAAAGTTTTTTTTCAAGTTTTCTGTCTGTATTTTGAATTTGCTTACAGTGCTTTTCAACGTACAAATTAAAAAAGATTTTTATTTATATATCAAAGTTTATTTATCAATCTTTTCTTTTAATGTTTCTGGATTTAGAGTCATTTCTAGAAAGGACTTCCATTTTCTAAGTTTATAAAGGAATTTACCCATGTTTATTTCTAGTGCAAGTACAGTATTATTTTGTATATTTGAATATCTTGTCTATTTGGAGTTTACTCTGGTGGTTTACATGAAATGTGACTCCAACTTAATCTCTTAATAGATCACTGTCTAGTTTTTCCAGTGTCATTTAT